ATTGTACTTACTGTATTATTTCAATAAATTGTTATTCTGACTTATAATCTCTCCTTTGAGTTGGGTTCATTCCCCCTGCTGGTTAACTTTTAAACCAGCACAATGAGAAAACACCACACTAAGAGAGGCCCTACTGCTTCCACACTCCCTCTTGCCAGTGGAGAAAGTTTGCTCCTGCAGCTGGCTTTACTGAGCCTGTGGTCAATAACCATTAATGAGGAGCCCTGGAGCTAATTCTCTGGTGTTAAGCAGAAGATAATTCACCTGTGATCTGTAACTGAATCTGTCGGCTCTCTGTCTTCTTCGCATCAGAAGTGAGGCATGTGTACATCCCAGCATCCTCTGGCTTGACGTGGCTGATCACCAAGGAGCTGTCAGACTGGTAGGTGTGCCTGCAACACGTGCAAGGATTGACTGCCTCTGCCTGGCCACCGGCAGCAACTGGCCGAGGCAGAGCAGCCCTTCGTGCTGATGTTACATAAACCATCACCATGTAGTGCCCTCACTGGCTTAGAAAAAAACAAAACCCTGCTGACCACAGAGGGGTCACGGGCAGGGGAAATAACTGTGCCAGAAAGGAGGTCAGGAATAAAGAAGAAACTGAGATGGGAAAACAGGGAACTGCTTTCAGTAATCCTCTCCCATGAGGAGGCAAACTGCCCTCCCAGGGAGGAGCTTGAGTCCCAGCAGTCAACTGCAAACAGAAAAGCATAACTGGGCTTTTCTTAACTGTAATTTTCATAACACAAAGGGACTGACTGGCTCCAAACTCTTGCTGGAAACAGACCTCCCAGGAAAAACAGGTTTAAAATGAGTTTAAAAAAAAACCTGATGTGCCAGAAACTTCCAGCCGCAGGAACTCTGGGTTATTTGGCTGTAGGTTTCACCCTGGATTAGTGACTTCGTGCTGCCCAAAGATGAATTCAAGAGAGACATTTTTCTGCATCGCTACCCACATGTCAGCTTCCACTAGTGCCTTGTTATGGGACAGCACTTGCTCTGCCCATAACTCTAGCCAACATCTCATTACTGGTGCAGACTGTACCTGTTTCTTCTATGTGCAGAACAGGTGGACAGTTCATGCTCTTAGGTCAATACACGGGCCTTTTTATTTCTTAAAAAAAAAGGGGGGATGAATAACGTGTGGCAGTTTTGGCTGGGATAGTGTTAATTTTCTTCAGAGTAGCTAGTATATGGCTGTGTTTTGGATTCGTGCTGAAAACAGTGTTGATGTTTTCATTTTCATGCTGAGCAGTATTTACACTAAGTCAAGGCCTTTTCTGCTTCTCACCCCACCCCACCAGCCAGTGTGCGGGGGGTGCACAAGGATTTGGAAGGGGACACGGTTGTGACAGCTAACTCTGACAGACCAAAGGGATATTCCATACAATATGACATCATGCTCAGCATGTAAAACTGGGGGAAGGAGGGAGAAGGAGGGGCCACTCAGAGAGATGGCATTTGTCTTCCAAAGTCACTGTTGTGTGTGATGGAGTCCTGCTCTCCTGGGGATGGCTGAACACCTGCCTGCCCATGGGAAGTGGTGAATGAATTCCTTGTTTTGCTTTCACCTGCAGCTTTTGCTTTACCTTTTAAACTGTCTTTATTTCAACCCACGAGTTTTCTCACTTCTATCCTTCCGATTCTCTCCCCCATCTCACCAGGGGTGAGTGAGTGGCTGCATGGGGCTTAGTTGCCAACTGGGGTGAAACCGTGACAGTCCTTTTCGGATTGCATATTTGGCACTCTGCCCAGCAAGGAGCCCATCTGCTCTACAATGAAGGGAGCTGAGCTCACCTGTCAGAGGAGACTGGTCGGCTGTTCTTCATCCACTCCACTCTGGAGAGCGGGGACATGCCTGTTTTGCAGACCAGCTGGATGTTTTGTCCCACAACTGCTGTCACAAGAGAGGGCTTGGCTTCCTCCAAGATTGTTCTGAAAGAGAAAGTGATTCTATTGGCACTTTGGCTGCCCTCCTTTGTGTCCTCTAATCTGACTCTTGATGAGTTACAACCACAAGACAAAGCATGACCAGCTGCCCTTTCTCCTGGAAGAGAGTCCTGCAACCCCTCTCTTCTGAACAAATGAAGTTCAGCTCAGCAGACGGACACAGATCCAGTGCAGACATGTTTAGATCTTGCTCTATGCATTCCTGATTTTCAGGGTAATACTGACTGGATCCTGACCCAAACTCTGCATCTTAAAGTCTTCCATAGAACAACTCATTGCTACTTTATGCAGTGCTGAGATAAAGGCTCTGAAGTCAAAGAGTCAGCTAAATTTGTTGGTCAGAACAAGGAAAACACCTATGGATTCTCATTTACTGCGTAAGAAGGCCTCCCAGACAAAGACTCCAGGATTCTGCAATTGTTTCACACACCATACTGAAGTGCTGTCAGAGACCAGGGAGAGTGCAAGGAAAAAGATAGCAGGTAACTCCAGGGCCTGAATAACAATATCAAGGGGTCATATGTATAGCTAATCCATCACATGGTATTCCCAGATAGCTGGTCCCAATGGGGTAACACTTTAACTTCAGAGAAAGCTGCACTGATGCTTCACAATCATCTGGCAGAAAAGGGTGGAGGTAAAAATCATCACCTGTGCAGAGCCTGTGCTGGGAACAAGTCTGCAGACTCCTGGTGCCCAAATCCCTCCGTCATGGAAACACCTGCTCCAAAAGCCTTATGCCACTGCTTGCCTTCACGGGGCAGCACCTGCTGGCCACTGCTGCTCTGGATCTCTGAGGGCCCAGGTACTGCTGTTTCCCGCAAGTGCAGCTGGCTCAGGCTGTCCAACCTGCTTTGCCGTGTGTTCCAGCGCTGGCTCTCCAATATACCAGTCCTTGGCAAGGACTCTGACAGCACCTCACTTCTCCAGCTGTCCTGTCTGCGGCTGCCTTGTGTAGGGTTTGAAGCCCCATAGGTTCTTCCTTCTTGGCTGTGACTTGCAAACTGTCTTGTGAGTGATTGCTGCTGACCCTCAGCAGCCCCTGTAGGAGAGTAGGAGCCAGTCTGCTGGCGCTGCAGGGCTCCTGTGCCAGAAGAGGGCTGGTGCTCCAGACGACTGACCCCCACAGAGTTGTGGCACACTCTCATGCACTCCTCTTCCGAGGCAAAGCTGTTTTTATTGCCATGACAGCCACCATACCAAAATCGGTTGCACTTGCCAACAACACTCACAAAGTACCAGCGAGTGGTCCAGTTTGTGCAGGGGCCATGAGCACTGGGCAGCAGGCATATCACAGGGTACGCTACCAAAAGGAGCACAACAGAGGGAGATGTGAGGGTCACAAAGCACAAAGGTCCAGCTGCTTCAAGCCACCTATCTAGATGACCTGATGTGGGCAGAGGGCAGGTGGAAAAGTAGGACATCTGGGTTTTGCAGCCAGCTCTGCTTTGAAATTGGGCGGCAGCTCACATTTTCCTTTTTGCGTCAGTTTTGTCTCTGACTGAAGAACCACCATCCTCAAAGACATTTCTGAATCTAGATACCAGACAGATGTTTCACAGCCTTCTTTAGGGAATTGTGCAACTGCAAGGCTGCCTCTGGGGCTTCCTCTTCCTGGCTACCATTTGCACATTTCCAGCCCACAAAGTGAGAAGATTAGACCCAGTTGTGAAGACTCATGCACTACAGAAAACCCCCCTCCCCACCCCACATTGCTATAAAGAAGAGCACAGCCCAATGTGTCTACAAACCCAGCACTGCTCTGAGTCACATGCTGACAAACACTGGAGGCAGGGCTCTGACTGAGGGGTCCTTTGCGAAGCTGTGTTTCAGCAGAGAGGATCCAGAGAGCTTCCCCCTTCCCCATGACAGCCCCACAGGATTGGCCACAAAGCAATGTGTCTGCTGCAGCAACAGGGCAAGGAAATGCAGGAGCAATATGCCTGCAGAGGGTACAACTGGGCACTAAAGGAACAGAGATGCTTTTGCCCAGTAGTTCTAGCACCCTTATAGCACAGCAGGCACTTGATTGAACTTTGCTGGCTAAAGGCATGCACACAACCCTGAGCAATCCCTCCATCCTGATGTAGCTCTCATTTCACCCCTGCCCATGAGCTGTTTGAAGGCTGAGAATGGCCCTGATTCCTCAGAGGGGCCCTACTTCTCCTAAACCTCGGAAAATAATTTGGGGCACACCAGGCTGCATCAGGGTTTCTTCTCAGGGCCAAACAGCTCCCCAGTAGTCCTACACACAAACACACTTCTGTCCAACTATCAGCAGAAGATCAGAATTTTTGCTGTAGCTGACAGAACTGAACCTTCTGGCTGCTTTTCTACACTCCCTCCAATTTTATGCTGCCCCAGCCAACAGGTAGAATTTATTTTCAAAGATATAATTTACTACATTTTACAGGGAGCAGAGCCTCTACACAGGAAGCTTGCATGTGCTCCTGAACTCTTTTCTGTGTTTCTAAACCAAGAAGCCAAAGCATCACTTACGGTGGTTGGGCCTATTGAGACATCCTTCCCCTCGAGGACCTGAAGCTGAAGCGACATTGTCAAAACAGCAGCCGTACATGGAACTGCGGCACTCGCCCGAGGGATGCTGCTGGGACAAGGCTTGGCTTGCCTTAGAGACAGGAATTGAAAGCCAAAATTTATCATGCTTACATGAGAACAGTACCACATGCAAGGCACCGTGTCCAAGCTGTCAGCTGCAGAAGGCCAGCTGTTAGAGGCACCACTATTTGTTTGTTTGCCTCCTAGAGGCTTTCATGCTGGGAAGGGGTGGGGAACTTGGCTGTTAGCCATGGAGCCAGGGCTTCACTTCTCTGCAAGACAAACCTAAGCAGCCCAGCAGCCAGACAGTTTTTTCTGCTGGCTCCAACAAGAACCCCAAGCTATGAGAGGGATTATCTCCCTGCCTTCAATTAATCTGCAGAGTTGACAAACAAAGACAATTAATAGCGGCCATGTTTTCCCCATTTTTTTATCCTAGAAATTGGATGGCAATTTCATGACTGACAGAAATTGGATTATTCAGGATTATTCAATCAGTTCTACATAGGATGGTCTTCTTCTCAGACATCTCCCCACCACCCACTCTGTTCCCTGCTTATAGAGGATCACAGGTGGATGCTCCAGATTGAATAGGAGTGAGGCAGGCCAAAAGGCTTGATGCCATGCCTGGAGTATTGATTCTTCAGCATTACTAGCAGAGATGAAGCCCAACAGAAACCCACAAGTGAGTCACCAGGGTCAAATCTGAATTTTTGTATCTGATGAACTCCAAAATTGCAAAGAGCTTTTGTACTTACTGTTGGAGTGGCCACAGTGGGATGATTTTGGCTCATTCGAATGTCACGGTAATATTGTGGGCATCCCATGTTGTTTGGACCCTGGGCAGCTGAAACTCCATCAGGGCAGCACCCATACCTACTGACAGAAGGGCTGCAGTAATACCTTACCTGCCCAGCTCAACAGGCACAGGCTATAAATTTCAGGAAGCCCCCAGGAAAGGCAATGCCTCCCTGCTCAGGCCTATCTACTTCCAACTACCTGTTTTGGTGACAGGTGCTGAAAGGGCAGCCTCTCCCCAAAGGGCCTGAAGCTGGAGTGTGCCCATCTGGACAGCAGCCATGTGGGCTCTGGTGACAGTCCCGAGAGCCAGGCCCTGCAGTGGGGTCCTGAGAGAAGCCGAGCTGATGGGAACCCGATAAATGTGACTGGGGTTCCCAGCGAACAGCAAACAAGTTCATGCCATGGTCCTTGGTGGATGGAATGTGGTGATTCCCAGAGGTACTGTGGATCATGGTGTTCCCAGGGAGCATCCTTTCATCACCAGAATCTGGGGAGAGAACTCATTAAAGTATGTAGGTGAGCATCAAAATCTGGTCAGTTTTCCTCATCTCTGCTCTTTCACCTGCCCAAGGCTATGTGACAGGCTTTTCTGCATCACCTGAATGTGTGTCTTCTGGCCAGCCCTTCCAGATATGGTTGTCCTGAGGGTCTTTGCTCACTGCCCTGACCATTCTTTCTGCTGTCCCATGAAAAAGCACCTGTCATGTTACTGTGATCCCTTCACATCATCCTTTCTTCTTCCTACGATCTGCTTTGGGCACCATTTCTCTCAGCCACGACCTAAGTCATGCTGACAGAACTCAGGATCTATATGCATGTCTTCTGCATGGATATATTCAAATACTGCTCACTGTTGGTGTAAAAGAATCTATATTTTATCCCTGGATCCATGAATTTATAGAAGCCCATGAAAAGAATTAGAGAAATGAATAAAGGGAGGATCCTGTCCCCTACCACACCCTATTCCAAGTCCCCCATCATCAAAAACCCAAATTAAGAAAATTTTTCCAAACCTGGGGCGTGGCCGTTTGGGTTGTAACGTGTCAGCAAGGACTGGCGAGTGACATCATATCCCATAGTGTCCTGCATACTGGGGACCTCTGCAAAGAGAGACATACACAAAATGAGTGCAGTTAGTCCAGCATATTCTCTAATAATTGCAAATACATCCAGTAGTCAGCAGGAGACGAAAGTAGATGAAAATGTTTCTCTTCTCCTGGAACAGCTGCTCAGCAGCAATTAGATTCAATTGGACTGTCAGAACAAGTGACCTACAACGGGCAGGCAGACAAAAGTCAGCATTTGAGCTCTAATGTGAAGACTAGACACAGACAGCAAGCAAAATATTCTGAAGAGTTGTGACTTCTTTATAGTTGGTCCAATGAGGGATGAGAGTTTGCTATAGTTTTTAGCTACTGAGCCTGCTCAGGTTACCATCCTTCTAGACTGGGAGTCCTGGGGTCAGTCTGCAGCACACACTGGATGAGCCATCACAGAATACTGAATTCAAAATGAATACACACCAGTTTTGTTCCCAAGCCTGTTGCATACATTTCAAACAGCACAGGTACTGGGACTCCGAAGATGCTTTGTGCACATAACCATGGCAAACTCAAAGGATGGAGACAGGCAGGCAAGAAGATGAGAACATAAGCTGATGCAGAGCTGTGAATTTCTATTCCTAAAAAAAAGCATCTTGGGAAAAGCTAGTGTGCAGCAATACCACTCACGCTGTGGCAGGTAGCAGGGCTGCATGTTGCAGCTACCCAGGGTGGCTGGTTTCTCTGGCTGGCTGGCTTTGCATATCTCAGGACTGTAGAATTTGGAGTCACCGTCAGCACAGATGACTTGGCGTGTCCGGATGCCTGAATCGCAGCTCTTGGAACACTTGGGCACAGAGACAAGGCAGTGAGCAGGCAGCAGAGGCTGAATGCAGAAACCCCACAGACCAGAAGTGTGGAACGGCTGCATGAATAGCTGCAGGCTGAGCACAGCTTCCTCCACCAAGACAAAGCAAACAATATTTCAGCTGGATTCATCTAAACAATTAGAAAATCGTACTTTAAACCATGTTACCATTTTACCTGAGCCATGCTCAGCCTGTAACATCCAGATGAGCTGCTGTTACCCACAGTGATATGTCATGGAGCTTGAGTGAATTATTTCAGCCTGAAGGCACCTCAGTTCTCTGGGGACCCACCAGCTGTGAGGGGGGTCAGTTTTGAACTATTCATTCTAGAGCAACAATATACAACTGGAAAGCAAACTGGTGGCTTTCTTGTAAGCAGCTAACTGGAGTTCACCTCACTGGAAACTGTGGATGAGGAGGGAGCAACGAGCAGTGGCTCGGGGGAGGGGATAGTATGATGTACTTGTGTAACACACCCAGCTCATGGCAAGCTCCACAAACATTGGGAGAGTATTGCTCTCTTATTTAGAGGCAGATAGGAGCCCTTCCAAAAAATAGAAAGTGAGGGGAAAATCAGATTAAGGCATGCAACTTCTTTAGCTGTTACTAAAACTTGGCCTATATCTCATGAATAACCAGATGTAACACATTTTAACTCAGAACTAGTTGGTCTGGCTAGCACAGAAATGAAAAAGCATGTTTGGAAGTCACCTGATGCATTGGATCTACCTGTATCTCCACCCCCTGGCACTTTTCCCAGGTTGAACACAGTCTGGCTTCCTCCACAAAGACAAATCCATTGGAAGCACAGTTTATCTGAATAATTACAAAAATGTACTTTAAACGATATCACCAAATGCAATGGTAATCCCCAAATGCTCCAGCCTTGAAGCCTGGAGCTCTAAGCTGAACTTGGCCAGAGAGCTTCTTCTGCTGATCACAGAGATGGAGCAAAGAACTGTGAATAAGCAGCAAGACTGGACTGTTTCAGTTTATTGGCTGCATTTTGCCACTGTCACTGAAACTATAATCTGCCCCTCAGAAGGATTTATTTTTGTAGCAGCTGCATACCAAGCAGGCGGCAGATTAACTGGAGCATTACCCGTGCCAGTTACAACGCGACTGTGAGCCAAGGGGCTGGTAATGAGGCAGTACATGCTCCCAGCCTCAGCCAATGTGCAGGCTGCAAGGATCAAAGCTTGTTGTGAGGAGCACAACAATATAATCAGGAATATCTGAACCATGAAAGTGCGGTGCTCACCAGACCCCAGTCTCCAACGTGCCAGCCAATTTCCTGGATGCAGTTCTCCCTAAGGCAGGGCTGGGTGGCCGATGGCTTTGGCTCCATTAGACAAGCAAAGTCCTGAGCCTGAGAGCCCTGCTGTGTCTTGCAGGTGATGGTCCGGGTCTGGACTCCTTCCCCGCAGCTGGCTGAACACTGCAGAAAGGGGACCCAAAAATTACAAAGATGCACCTTGTTTCCTCCTGCAATTCAGGGCCATTCTCTCTAATATTAGGGCAGAACACCATTTTGAGATTGCCTAAAAAACCAGCTATCATTAAAATCATCTTCTGGGGTGGGAGTTAGCAGAATAGTTGTTTATGCTGCAGAAGAGACAATAAGGCATGGGAGCATGGGATAGGGCCTGGGACATCTGGAAGTCACTGGATGATTTTGGCCTATGAACAATAGGATATGAACAATACACGGTAGAAAATATCTGGAAACTCATATTATTTACACCTGATTAAAATCAGCCACGGTAAAGAATTCTAGAGAAGATAAAAGATTAGGTTCTTATACTGCTCATGTCTTTTACCTAAAGACCTTGTGCTCCATTTTTACGATGTGAAGCTGGGACACAGCTTCTATACTGGTAACTGATTTGTGACATTTTCAATGCCCTCTTAAATTCACAGTGGTGTTTCCAGGAATCCAGCCTACTTCTCCATGAATTACCAAGTTCTCTAACAGAGAGGATTAACTTGGAGACAGTCTGAATTACTTTAGATGAGTTTCCCAGCTGTGTTTCAGCCATTCATTTACTAGATTGACCTTTTATCTCTGAGAGTACATGTAACACAGTCGCTTTTGAGAACCTCAAAATGACTCACTTAGGAATCCGTTTGTAAGAACTTCCCCAAACAGTGCTCTTACTCCAGAATCCTAAAGTCACACCTGGAATCTCACAAAAGGAAAAAAAATATATAAAAAAGGACTTCCCAGTCTAGGGACTTCCCATGCCTCAAAGTTGCATTTTGTGCTGCTGCACTACTCAAAGTACCACCACAAGATTGTAAGTCAAATGTTACAAGTGTGCATGTCCTTCTTCTAAAAGAGGAAAATTCACTAGTGCTTTATGGACTAAGTAGATACTCCCTTTACTTTCTAAGCCCTTGGAACATAAGATGCCTTCTAAAAACCTGGCTGGCTTCACTGAGCATATACAATTTGAACTGTTTCCAATGCTGTAGATATAAATGCACACAGGCATAAAAAATGCACCATGTGGCTGTGTTTGGAGAAGCCCTGTGCAGACACACAGAAAACAGCAGGTCACCAATGTTACAAGAGTACCTTGCTTACCGACTCTTGTGACTGAAGTACTGCTGTCCTGGGCTTGTACTGCTGAGGCAGCAATATGGAAATCAACAGCACAGGCAGGAGCCAGGAGCTCCTGTTTTACAGAGGAGGGAGCGTTACTGCACATCCTTGGCTGATGGACAGCAGCTCTCCTGCCCACTCTCTGCCTTCACCAGGCCTGGCTCAGAAACCCAGCCAGTGCTGGGTCTGGTGAGTTTGATAAAAACACAGCAGTGTGGAAAGGATTGGCAGACCAGAATAGAAACAATATGCAATGAGAAGTGCAGAGGCACAGGGGCATGCACAGTTTTGAGGAACAGGGACGTGTGCATAGGAGGGCATAGGAGGGCTGCAGGGACAAGTCCTATACCTCTGCACGCCACCTGTCCAGGGACACACATTTTTTATAGTCCCAGAAAAGAAGCCTGGCTCTTTATCCCCAAGCTTTGGTACATCCTCCTGCAGGAGGTGCCAAGAGGCTGTTACCCACACCCCCTCACCTCTGACCAGGGCCCCGTGCTCCAGGTGGCACACTCTCTCACATTGCAGGGCTGGCTGCTGCGAGGCTGCTGGGCAAAGGCCATGCACTCAGCATTATCCACCACCCCTTGCGAGCTCTGGCCATCAAAGGCCACGCAGTAAACGGAGCGAGTCTGGGTGCCCCCACCACAGGTAGCTGAGCAGGATCCCCACTCTCCTGTTTTCCACCTGCAGGTCACAGAATCAAGAAAAAAAAAAAAAGTAAGCCCAGCTAAACTGCCTCTAGGCACAGAGGAGGTCAGTGCCAAATTCCTGTAGAAATCAAACAGGGAAAATGTCCCTTTGCAGAACAGAGTCAGAAGTGAGTTCCCATTTGACCAAGTGCCACTCAGCTTAATTGGTAATGCAGAGCATGAATGCCACTCCATAGACATATCCAAGCTACAAAACACTTGTTTCTCTGGAAGTGCAGAGTTCTCCCAAAAAGAGAAGATTTCTCTCCATGGCTTTTGGTCTCCTGATATCCGCAAAAATGTCATGCCTGGAATAAAACGTCAAAGAAAAATAAAGAAAAAAACCAAAGAAAACAATCCACGTCAACTAAAAGAAAAGCAATCCACACCAGCCCAACTATACATTATCAGAATCAGTAAAACCAAGGCAAGCCCTCACTCTGCCTGCAAACCATGCCACACACTCTCAGAAGTGCTTGTTAACTTTTCACTGAGAGCCAGTAGAAGGCTGGTTTATTCCTCCATTGCTCAAATTCTCTAACAGTACACATAGAAAAAAGCCCCCAAAAATGTAAATAGATTTTGTCCTGTATTTGATTGCTAAAGCTGCTGTAGAAGTGATACACCCTTGCTAGGAGAAGGGGGAATGTCCACCAAACAATCTGTTTGGATGCTAAAATCTCTGCCTGTGGCTGCTTCAGTGCCTCAGAGCTGCCCAGGCAGCTGGGAGCACAGCCTAACATGAGGTGGCTTCAGGGACAATATGATGTTTCATCCCTGACTCCAGTGTGCTGTGCAGTCAAAAGGCGCTGGTTGTGTAGGGGGAGCATCGTGGTGATCTGTGTGCCAGCTGCTATATCCCCTTGCAGTCAGATAAGCCCCAGCCAGGGAGTGAAGGCAGTTCATGTTTTCTTCCCTAGCATTCCAGCTACTTCCCTAGTCTGGCCCTTGCCACACCTACACTGAGTTTCAGCCAGCCAATTCACATTCACATCCTAACAGGAACTCCACAGTAAACTTGGCCACATTCACCTCCATAGATGCCCTTCTTTATTGCTAAAGATGCAAACATCAGGTCAAAACTGAATGGCCTTTCCTATAAAATAGGAAAGGGAACAAATACAGCCATTAGAAGCCACACAGCGGTGTGGTTGCAGGGTTTATAACAAATTAAATGATTAAGATTTTTCAAAAGCTCCAACGGTAATAACACCCCACCCCAACTGTTTTCTGCCTCCTGTAAAGCAAATGTACAGTTTTAGAAACACTGTATCAATCAGATGCACTCACCTACAGCTTCCTTCAATTCCAAGTCGAGACATCTCTGACATCTGTTTAATTTTCTTTGTAAGACAAGGTCAACAACCATAAGGCTGGGACTCTTATCAGAGGGCAAAAATTGCAAGTCCTAAGCTATTAGCAGCTTGCTGGGAGACAACTGTTTTGCTTTTGATGCTTTTAACTTCTCATATCTCAGTGTACATTATTGTATCTGTCATATCCTGGTACTCATCACAGTTTATAGGCTCTTTTCTGCCTGCTGTAGGGCCCATGCCAAAGAAAGAAGAGCTTTTAAGAAACTGTAGCTTTTGCTATGGCATGTTAGCATCCTGGCCAATGTTTCAATTGCTCAATCCATCATGCTCTCTTTTCATTTATGTTTTTATTTATCTTGATAAATAAATTTTAAAAGTCTTCCAGAACCTCTTTACTCTGATTCCAGAGAAAAAACAAGTTATCATAATAAGCAGCCAGATATGAAGAACTTGTCCCCTTTTCAGTTCCATAAGAATAAAGTTAGCAGAGGCATGTGCAACCACCTAAGCAAAGCTGCCAGCCAGCACCCTCCACCATCCTTTTCACTGGCAAGAATCAAAAGCGAAACAACACCCACTGCTACCACCAGTGCCAAAGAGGAAAGCCCCCATGGATTCATTGGGCAATTAAGAGGAGAGCAGAAGAGAGCAGCTGCCTTCCTGTGCTTTCTGTAACTTCCTTCTCCTCGTTACCTCTTCATCTGAGAGCTCCGTGCTCCACTCTGACTCCAGGCTTGCGGCAGATAGACGTAAGAAGTCCTTTATACACAGAACAAAGGATTTAAAGAACTTAAAACAAGTAACTACAGGTTAACATATTAATGTATTCAGGAATGCTCCGAGGTGCCCTCTCATGCACACAAGCGCTCTCAGAGGCCTCCGCTGCACCCACCAGATACACAGAGAGATCCACAGCTAAGGCTCCGGTTATAGCTCTGGATGCCCATGTAAGAGCCAAGTGAAGCCAACTGTAAGGCTATGCCAACAAGGGACAAGGTGGAAATGGCTGAGTGAAGGGGTTTGAAAATGCTAGAGAATGAAAAAACTCCAGGATTCATCCCTTTCCAAGAGCAAGGACACTGGGAATGCAGAAATTACTTAAAATGACACCAGCTCTGACCTTCTACTGTGTCTTTGCAGGCTCCAGCTCAAGAAAACAAAACCCAGAGAATTTGTTTCATATCTCCTACGTGGGCTAGAAGACTTTCCATACTTTGGAAAACAGATTTAATTTAGTCTATAAAATGAACACAGAATATATTAAGACCTCTTCTTGTGCACACAGAAATGCTTATCACAGTGCTATCACCCCCATCCTTTGTCTTGGGCTTTCTCTAAGAAGCGAAACACTTCTTTGGAGAGAGCCATGCTGGAGGGTAGAAGTGAGCATGTCATTCCTTTTCTCAGTTCCAAAGCACCTCAGGAAGAAGTCAGAGTTCAGAAGAAGGAAAGAAATCGTACCGTTTTGTCTGGGGACAAGGCTGATGACCACATGTCCGGTTATTGTCTGGTTGTGGTTTATTCCTGCACATATAGTCCGGATAAATTTCATTGTCTATGGTACAAAACACCAGCCGGGATTGGAAACCTACAGTACAAGCAAGAGCGTATCTGATCAACACAAGCTACCCAGGACTAGGTTTACAATGCATTAGGATTGGCAAGACAAGTTTCTAAACTCGGGTAGAATCTGCGCCTGTCCCAGCCATTTTGGAAAAGAACCAGGTGTAGTTCTTTGTCTCTGACAATATGTACAAATGATGCCTTCCCACGGCACAGGAATCTACTGGAAGGGCAAGGGAAACAATGTAATTCTGTGTAGCTGAGGGAATTTTCCTGTTATATTACAGATTGAGACTCACAAGGGAAGTGCCATACCCATATGTTGCTCATGAAGGAACCCCGCAAGATGCATGCAGTATACAGCTGAAGAACTGGGAGGGGGAGGTCCTTCTGTTAGACTTAAAAGGCCAGTCTTGTGAAGACTGGATATGGGAATAAAACTTGCAGCTCTTCATGCTTCCTACAGGATATGAGTGCCCAGGCAAATACAGTCTCAGCACCTATAGACAAAATATACTAATCAGCTGGAGAGGGTTTTTTTTGTTTGATTGGTGATTTTGTTTTTTCTTTTAAGCTTGAAATCCATAATGTTCATGGAAGAATCTGTAAACTGAACATGACATGACATTCCAGTGTCTGACAGTCCTCCTGGAGAGAGGGCATCTTCCAGGCTGTGGTCAAGAAGAATGATGTGATTTAGTACTGTAGGTCAGATCAGTTTGGAGAGGACCTCTAAAGTGGTTGAAAAGACCACGAAGAGCCAAAGCAAAACAAAACAAAGGCTATCTATGAAGATTCTTAACAGGTTGTAATAATAGTCTAGGACTAGGACTAGGGCATGGAAAATAATACAAGACAAGGCATGGGACACAGTCCTGTTGTGACTCCATGCATGACCCTTCCTTGACAAAACCTTAGCTGCCCCCTGCAGATACCTATGCTGCCTTCCAGCAGAAGACTGCTGGGAAGCAGCTGCAGAGGGCAGCACACTGTCTGCAGGGTGTGGATATAAACTCCACACCAGCTGCCAGCGACCAGGTCCTCTCTTCTTACCTCCTCCACATTCAGAGCTGCATTCACTCCAGGAACTGTAGCTCCAGCTGTAACTCGTGGCCTGTCCTTGCAGGGGCAGGTAATACTCGTACTGTACCCCTGTGTTTGGCTCCTGGCTGATGAGCTGTGAAAGCATGGGAGGAAGTCAGGGGAATAACACTTTTCCTCTCCACAGAATTTCTCCACCATGTCTGAGGGTTTGAGCTGACTTGCACCCCTCCCATTCAAGAAGCACTGTATTTTCTTCTTGCCTTCTATCATACTCTGGAGAGCACTATTTTTCAGAGAAGGGTGTCTTCATCCCTCTTGGCTTCAGAAAATCCAGCTGCCCTTGTAACAGTGAGTACCTTTCCTGCCCTACAGAACAGTTTAACAGGCAGCGTCCTGGAGCCTGTCCCTGCCCCAACACTGCTTGGTCCTGACTCTCACCCCCCTTAAAGTCAGCGTCTAGGAGAATAGGCAGGAAACCAACACTGAGCCTTGCCTTGCTCATTTGTGGGCAATAGAACCAGAGCAGCAATTTGTGCTGTTTCTGAAAGAAGACCACCTTGGTCTAGCTTGAGGGCCTACAGCCTTGTAAGATTCCCAGGAGCCCCATCACTTCACCAGTTTTTCCCACATGGTATCCACCAGTGCACTGCCACTGCACAAATCGAGCACTGCTATGCAAAGAGATCAGAGCATCAGCAGGGAGCAGGCACAGCTGCTTACCTCAATGACGAGGGGTTCTGTGGTGGGACCACGGGCATGGAGGAGCTCTGGGGCCAGATCACCCTCCAAGCCCCGGTCGTAGTGCAGAACCGTGCTGGCCACCTGCAGCGCCCGGCTGAAGTCGATTGTCCAGTGCCCGTTCAGGTAATACTCCCCTCGCACGTTCTTAACAGCTGGGCAAACCCACACCCCAGAGAGAGAGGATCATAAGAATTCCACCGGGATGCTCATGCTTTCACTCAACACTGTGTCACAAGCAAATGAAGGTGACCATCGTCCTCCAACAATGCTGTCCTCCCATATGGCTCTCTTGCCAGAAGCTGCTCCACATTCAGACAGTGGTTCTTGCCAGCTTTGCTGCAGACCAAGCACTTTTTTGCTGAACAGACAAATGCCTCCAGCATGTTCCTGCCCTGCCTCTGCATTCCCCACTGTGCTAGGGCACAGTCTTTGTCCTGCTTGCTGTTAAGATGTGGGATTCACATCCCACTGCCTCTACACCACTAACTAGTTCATCAGATATTCTCTTCAAAAAACAAAGATGGGTGCTGCATCCAGTTTTCTACAAAGGAAAACATCACCAGACTGATTTGTCCAAAGCACTGGGTGATGGAAGAGTCAGAATGCAGATGAGTATCTGCTTTCTCCACTGGAATTTCCTTAGCCCTGTCCAGAAAGCTAGGCGAGGACATTTCTCTCTCCTTTTTGCCCGCACATGACCAGAACCTGAGGTTGTACAAATGCCCAAAAGAAATCTATGGAGAAAAGAATCCCACTCCAAACTTTTGGATGGCAGGAGTAGTTAGGGTTTACATTCACCAAACAACAGAACTCATAGCCAAATTTTGTTATATCAACTAGACTCCTTGTAAGTTTCCGGGCAGGAAGTCTCAGTGTGGGTATTTTTATTCCCCACTTAACAGCAAGATCTCCACAGGACAGTAAGGAGATAAATGTGAAGCTCTGAGTTGTGCTTCAGTAACAGTTCAAGATCACTCAGTATTCAGATCCTGATGTCCAGAGAGTTTTCCCCCTCTGCCATATCAAACCCTCAAGACAAACATCCCAAAGTCCATACCTCAAAACCAGATTTTAATATAATGGCTGGAATCCAAACGGACTGACACAGATTCTGATGTAAGTCTTACCTAGAAAGTTCCTGCTGGGCATAACCTCCTTAACTTGGATGCTTGTGGCTCCCATAGGGATGATAAAGATTTGATTGTAACCTGAAAAAAAAAAAAAAGGGAATTATTCAATATCTGTCTGTGGATGCCACACAGCCACTCTTCTGTGCCAAAGATGCTCACAGTTTTGTTGGTGCCTGAAAAGCATGAGCTTTTTGCAGGTGGCTTGAAGCATTTCCACTGTCATTTTGACTGCATTCTGGGTAGTTTCACCCTACATCATCCACAGGTCATGTGTGTAAAAAATTCCTCAGAAAAGTAAGCACAGGGGTCAGAGCATATTCTATTTTTTAGATTTTAAAATCTTCGGAATGTCGGCAAGCATCATATTGGAGTTCAACACAGAGAGATGTGACCACAAATGTACTTGTTATCTTGAAATCTTTCAAAATTGGCCAAATGCAGCAGATGCAGTCCCATTTCTAGCCTTGCACTAATCCTGGTGGGGTTCTCAAGATACTGGACAGTCTTACAAAGGCAGTACATAGCTGTGTTCTTATGGTACATTTACAGCACCTGCTTGAGAGGGAGCAGGGAAAGACACCAGCATCACGGCAAGAGCTTCTGTATGTACAGAGATTAAGGACGTGATTCCCAGGATAAGGCCATCAGTACATTTTCTGATGCTAAGGCCACACACCATACAGACATTTCAAGTGAACATCCAAGCATGCCTACAATTATCACATGAACAGGTGTCCCCACCAGCCCTTGTAGCAGTTGACTTTCAGTTTAAATCTCTCCTTCTCACCTGCCCAAACCACCTAGGATCATCTGTACCTTTGGGGAGGCTGGTCACATCAAAAGTGCCCTTCACACCATAGCAGGTGCTGCCATCTCCTCCACACTGCAGGCACTTGTCCTCCTTCTTGTCAGATTGCAGCATATTATCACAGCCAACAGCCTGTCAGAGCACAGGAGCATTAATATGAATAAACCATAATGACAGAGAAAATAAAAAAAATGGCCAAATGTTGGACAGATCTAATAAGAAAGCCTGAATGTATGAAGTCTGTGAAGTCAAGATAGGGCAGAGAAAGAATTGACAGAGAAAGGACAGGGCTGATATCTACTATTTCACATCCAGAGACAGATAAATGCTGTCCACATGCTCCTCAGTACCTTGAAAGCTGAATGATTCACCTTTTCTCATGCTATTATGAAAGGTCAAGTAGAACAAAGGGAAGCAACAGAAAGACTGACAGACCCAATGACGAATGAAGGAAGCAGCAAGATGACTAACCTGACAAACACCCTCTACACAGATGTCCCGTTTGCCAGGTTCACAGGTAGTCCCATCAACCACAGTTTCCTTGTGCCTGTAGTAGAAGTTCTCTCCCTTGGGAATACAGTTTAACTCACACTTATTGGGTGCTGGCAGGAGACAAAAAACAAACATTATATTATAGCTTGATAACACATCAGAAACCTAGTTTTAGATCACAGGAGCAGAAACAGAGGGGTGGACTGATATTAAGTGGCAGATATTGAACAAATTTCTGGGTCACAAACCGCTGGAGGCTGCAAAAATACCCTGGTAAAGTCCCACTGTATGCAATCGTTTCCTCAGGGGACATTGGTTCAGGCAGATATTTGGTTACTCTTAGTAAGATTGTTCTTATGCTCCCTTGGAGTACAAGGCTTTCTAGAATGAGAACAAGTGCTGACACAGAACTGTTAACAACCAACAAAACCCCCCTTTAAATCCATCTTAAAATCCCTCATAATTTGTTAACAAACTGTGAATGATACCATATCAAAGCTCAGAGCAAGGACCCCCCGGTTCTCACACCTGCCTTCTGAGTTAGTTCCTCAAGAAAGCAATTGAAGAGATGTCATATTTTCTGAAGCACTCATTAATTATATGCATTTGTTTCTTCTGTGCCCTACCAATATTCTTTTGCCAATATTGGAAAATACAGCAGAACTTCTACTCCTCTAATACTTCAGAACATACTGCAAGCAGTTCCAGATTTCTTTAGCAATGTTTCTGAAAGAATGGTTGTTACAAGAGACAAGTATATATTGCTGCAATGCTGCCTCCTGGCCCATGCATCCAGTGCCTTTGTGACAGCAATGCCTTGCTGCTGGCAAAAAGATTTTTTCCATGCCACTCCCTGCCCCACACTCCAACTGAGAAAGTATCCTGCGAGGTCGCTACAGTAAAAAACATTAGGGTCACTTCAAAACATACTGTTCATAAGTAGGGATGAAATGTAACCCTACATGTTCATCATTACCTCCATAATACGGAAGCCACTTGTACTTCTTTCCTTGGAATTCTGTCCCATCAAACTCAGCACACTGCTCTGCCCGAAAATCCCGGGAGCCTTCCGGGCAGCTCTGTTTGGAGGAGAAAATGTATTAGGTCTTTATAAAAAGGAGGAAAATTGAGTGTGCAATAAAAATTTGGGTTTTATTGTTATTCCTCCCATATCAAATCAGAGGCATAATTTCAATATACTTTTGAAGGGGTACTATTAATGAACTGCATTCACCAGTGATGCCAGAGAAACAGAAATTATAATGACACATTATTTCTCAATTCTCAAGAATTACATTTTTCTGGGGAAAAGCAGCAACAGGCAAGAAAAAACAAAAACAAAGAACTGAACATTACATGACATTACATACCTGAACATTACATGACCGATAGCTTCGTGTTGGGCCAACACAACTGGAAGGACCTTCTGTCCTGAAAGTCAGAAAAATTACATGAAGTTCTCTGAAGAATACACATGTAAAAATGGCAGACATTACAAATCACCTTCACATCAAGCGTATCACCCTCACAGAGACTCCTGAAACAGCAAAATAACTAAAATGCACTTCTGCACCACTAAAGCAAGCTGGTATCTTCTAGTTCTGTTTTCTGCTATGGTTCGTGTTCTGGCATGAATGAGACACAGACCATGAACAATAGCAGTACAGCTCTTTGGTGTCATGTTTCAACTAAATAATGGAAGCAGAGCTTTTAGTCCATTCTCCACCAGCAAATAGGTGAGGTGTTCATACAAGACAGAGAAACATGTTATGAGCAGCAGGAGGGTAGTGGCCAATTCAGAACAGGTATGTACATCATCTATCTTGCTTTTTACAGGCAGACTAGGCCCATTAGTAAGAAGAGCTAAACATGTCCATGGAAAGTGTGCAACACCCATATTCCGGTCAAATGACTCTGGCTGAGAAATATGGAGAGTAACAGTTGTGGAGGAAATTGATCTGAAAAGTCAACCAGTGTCTAATACCTCAATATTCCTGAAATGGAGAGACAGGCCTCCAGGGATTCTGGCAGGTGTATACCATAATGGGCCACTTTCAAAAGAGATCCTTCTTTATTCTGTGTGGGAAGCAGCAGCTCTTCACAAATCTGGATTCTTCTATTACAACCCCCCATCATTTCTCTAAACACAGAGAGGCTGGTTTTTAAGATATTATTGAGAGTCTGGCTTTTTTTTCTCCTTTTCTTTGTTTTCATCCACAACAGGATCTCTAAGGTGCATCATTCTCAAGAGGTGCAGTACCAGTCACCATCCTCATTAGAATGCAGCTAAGCCAGCTGCAAGTGAGGTGGCACAGTGCTAACACTTCTTAAGCCAACTCTGCTCTTCCTTTCCTCTGGGGCAACTTACCTTCCTGAGATTTACGAGCCTGAGAAAATCCTGGCACAGTCACCAGCTCTCAGGAGAGGAACCAACTTGCTCTGGACTGTTCTCCATGCCCCCAGGGCTTGCCACACCAGACCTCAATGAACAGCTGCTGCCATGCCAATCACCTGATTGCATAGCCTTGGATCAACAGAGAAACTGCTGTGCTCTATCAGAGGAGCCAAAGCAAGGACGTGTTGAAGAGGGCACTATTCAAAAAAGTAGTTATAAAACTGAAAGTAAGGTTCATCTCAAAGGGGTCTCATTCCCCTGGGATCAAACACTACGTCATTTTTGTTCTGGATGTATATTGGAACATAACTGCAGGAGCTCAGTAACAGAAAAACACATTTAAAGAATCAAAAAAAGGAGGTTAGCCCTCACCTTTGGGAATAGCAGTGCCGCTGCCGAAAGCTGACTCCACCGCCACAGCTCCGACTGCACTTGCTCCATTCACCCCAGCTCCCCCAGACATCCACCTGCCGTTTCATACGGTGGCCCTGTAAATAAAAAACCCACAGACATATCAGACAGACCTAGCAACACAGGAAAAAAGCCAAATGGAAATGAGGCAGAGAACCTATGTTCCTGCTGTGCTGTATTCCTAGTATGAGAAGTGGCACAGAATAATAAATCAGAAACATCAGGCCTCTAATATCTAGGAGTATTAGCTTCCTGAAGACATATAGCACATCCAGCTTTTTAATCTCCCTTAACTGCTACTCTTTGTCTATTCATAGAATCTCAGCAGTTTTGAATAACCATCTAAAAGAGGATAACATCTTCCTCTCAGCAAGGCAGCAAAGGCAAATCATTACTTCAGGGACTATGAGCACTGTCACTGCACACCAGATCAATAGAGCCACTTAATCCCAAATCCTTGGCTCCAAGCCCAATACTTAGGAGAAATAAAAGAAGCAGAAAGGAAAGCCCTGGAACACTTTTTACTGCAACAAAATTCCATACATGGACCCTTTTTCCCCTTACCCAACTGTGTCCAATGATGATGCCAAGGTCACCATTAGCTACACCCTTAATTAATTTTGTATGTAGAAAGTCTGAATGGATACTGACATTAAGAGAAATAACCACAACAATATAGACAAGAAGTTACAAGTGCAATGCAACCAACCAAAACACATTGTCTTAGAAATACATTAAATATCATATTTTCAGGAAAAAAAGGCCTACTGCAGCTCATGGGATCTACATACAGCAGGACATGGGTGGTTAGTGGGAAGAATAGCAATATCCTGAAGAAAAAAAAGAATATTTGCAAGATGCAGCAGGCAGAGAAACAAAAGGTAAAAAATTATTGTGAGGTAACACTTCCATACACACTGTACCCCTCCAAATTTACATAACCCCCTGGTCTAGGTCCCTGTTCACTTGAACACAGAACCCCACACTTCGATACTCTACATTTCCCTGCTCGTGCTCTGTGTCCATTCCTTCCCATTGTCCCCCTGGTACCCTCATGTAAGCCATTTTCTGATGATCACCCCAGCTAGTAAGTGCCATCATAAGGGTTTTCTGCAGGAGCGAAGGAATATCCTAGAAGTGGAGATTTCACCACGGCAGGATTATGAACCCTGAGCAGCAGGCAATTTCCACCCACACAGGTCACTTTCCATGGTCTACAGAAAAGGATGGCACTCAGGAGAAAGCTCCTCAATTTAAGAGCATAATTTTCACTTCTGTTAACTGATAACTGCTTTTACACAAGACATCCAAGTCTCTGCTAGAAATAGGAGCTAGTCTAATAAATCATCCACTGAATCCAACTCAGGCAAGATGCATAGGTTAATTCTCCCTTGTCATTTAGACAGTTTTAATGATTTTCTACACATACTTGCTGCCTGACTGTATTTCCAAATTACAGTCTTGTTTCTTTCCTTCACCCTCTTTTAAAGAATAATTCCCTGCTACTGGCAGAGTAATAGGCAGAGATATTAGCCAATCATATCTATGCATTTACCATTAAATTACTTACAACTATCTAGCTGCAGAGTCACCCCAAATTATTACCTACATTGCTCTAATGTGAAACACTTTCTTCCTAGCCCATGCTATTTAATTTTCTTCACACAAGTTCTGTGCAATTCTTTCTAATACCTCTGGTTCAGACTAACTCTGTTTGCCTTCATCACTCACTCAATGGCACTACCCAGGTTACAGCCGCTTCGACATACCTTCTCTTGGCCAAGTCAACATCTCCCTGACCTCGTGCCAAACCCCTTTTCCATTCTTTCATTCCAGATACTGAGTTCAGTATTTGTCTTTTGCATTCCCATTTGCCTTTCTGGGAGTAATCCCAACAACAGAGTTTCAACTTTCAGCAAGGCATTTTATTTTCCCAAGTTTTTCTTTCAGACATCTAATTTCTCCCTCTGTAAGCCCTCCTCTTTTACTCTCAAAAGAATAAAATACGCTACCTCTACACTTTTTTTTCTCTACAATCTTATTCTTCTGTATCAACTGACTGATTTAGGAACGGTATTATCTCACCTTGGAAACAAGGGACCTCTCAGTCAGCATAAGGGAGAAGGAAACATGTAGATAAAAATCCAAAGGAAGAGCATTTGAAAGTCAGATTACTGGAAGGCAATTAGGATAGAAAGCCCTTCCTCGATACACACGTGTGTGTGAGCGCACACCCCCCTACCCCCCCATAAATATTCCAATATCCCTCCTACAGAACTAGCATTCTTTATTCCTTTCGTAGAGAGGAAAATCTGCAGGGACTGTTTGTTGTAAGGCTTTATCACCCGCAGAGTTCAGGAACAGTAATTTTTCTCAGTATCACTCCATTTACACACACCCCAAAAGGAGCATCAGCCCAAAGAATCCTCCCAAAGCTGTAGAGTGTTAGAGAAACATTTTAATAGGGGCCTAACTCCCATATTTGGAAATCTGTGCACAGTCCTCATTACTTCAGTAACTGCACACATGTATACAGGCAACTACAAAGCTGCATATTTATAATAAATAATAAATATGTTACATAATCTGATAACAGTATGTTTTTAGATGCTGTCATATAGTTTCTGTTCCAAAAGCCTCTTTTTGCTCTCTTCAGACTCTGGAATGCTTTTATCTGTTGTCAGCCAGGACAACTAAATTCCATTCCCTCCTGGATTCCAGAACTAATAACCTACAATCTTCATCACTGTTACAAATTCATTTGGTTCCATTCTTCCCTTGCTTCAGTCTAACATGTGTACAAGAATGTAGCTTCTTTATCTGCATTATGAATATATTTTAATGTTTCAAGAAAAGTGAGAAAATGCATATAACCATCTTACTTGATTTCTAAAAACTCCAGAAAGAACTGTCAGTTAATGCCCAACTGCTCTGTCTAGTTTTATTGCCAGTTAAGACACCAGAAATGCATACCTTCTGGGAATATTGATGTTGCCTGTGACCCTGGCACCACATGCTCTCAGTGCTCATTTGCACACAGGCTGCTGTGGTATGAACACTGCACTGGTTTTATCAGTTCCTATGGATGAACTGCTGATGTAGTTGCAGCATCTGCTGTTACCAGGTCAACTACAACTGATATAACCAGCAAGTAAAAAAGCTACGCCTCTAGAGTTCCAGACTCCATCTGCAAAGAATTCCAGTATGCATCAGATATAAACAAAAGAATTCTGGAAAAGAGTCCTAGATAGCATATTATATACTACATAATGTTTATTTTTATGTATGAAACATGCACTGGAAGAGAAGTTATGAATGGGACATGACTCAGAAAGACATAAAATGCCATCAGTATGTAGGAACACTTTAGAAGGGGCCCTTGAAAGACTTTTCAGTCAGTCTGATGAGATGAATAGGAAAATATGCATGGGAAGAGGACTGTGCTTCTCAGACAAACGCATTGCAGGCATGCAGTGATCCACAAAGTTCATATACTCAAATGGGGACTAGTGATTCAGTGCGAATAATCTCCTAGTGCCTTGCTACAACTCACATACTACCAAGCTATCAAAGCAAACATCAATTTACTTTAGAGTCACAAGTGAGCAGTGAAGTTTTGCAGTCACATGTCCAAACAACCTACATTCCAGTTAAGTTCTTACCCCTAGTATTTCCCTTACTCCTTGGACATCTTTAAGAGCCTAGCGATAACCAACCTGAACTGCTTTGTGAATTTTTTTGTGCTGCCTTTCCAAACTGACAAGCAGCAACAAAATATCATGTTGCCCCACTCCACCCAGTCATTGCTCAAAGCATATGGTTACTGATAATCACACTATGTCCCAGAGATTTTGGACAAGGCTAGTGTTTGCTTTTAGCCCAGCAGGTTGCATAGCTTTGGTCCATTGAGCTGCAACCGAAGCATCATTTTGGACACTGAAAAGTTGTTACTGTGACTTCTGGGGCTGCTTCACAGTTACTAGATTCCATTCAGATCAGATATAAATCTGTGCTGACAGTAAGAACATGGTGGGGAATCTTTGATGTTGGAGGTTGATGACAAGGCCCTGCACAACTGTTACCCACTGAAAACTGATATTGCTCATAATGAAAAAAATGAGTAATGTGGTATTACTGTTATGTTATGCAGTGTTTCTGTGGCTTAAAACTACATTAAAAACCAGACTCTCTCTCTCTTTAACCTTTCTTAGTATTTCTGAAATAACACTGCATCCTTTTATTTGAAAAATATCTACTTTCTAGGGTTTATAGTTTTTGAAATAAGATTAATGTTTATTTTGACACACCCTGAACTGTAGCCTCATTTATGAAACATGAAAGAAGGATATGAACCAAAGACTTTACAAAAGAAAATTATCACCACAATAATTTCTGTAATGGTTTAATTGGCAAAGTCTTGGCAATTAAGAAGTCTCCAGTGAAAAAATACAGCTTTGTTAAGTTTGAATAGTGATTGCTTAGAGAAAAGTTAATTACTTAGAGAAAAGTTAATAAGGGAAGGGGAGAGAGAAAGTGTCCAGGTGCCCCAAGGGCTGGCTGCTCCCTGCGGGCTGGGGGCCAGTACCAGGAGGCTGTCCTGGAGCAGCAGGGCAAGCCAGGGCACAGACTCAGCCCTGGGAATTGGGCACCTCCAGCCAAAGTCAGGCTGGACATGGGACTGCAGGTGAGCCTAGCTTATCAGGGTCCACGGCTGGGCCAGGAAGGGTTGTGCAGATGTAGCATCAGGATGATGCAGGATGCATCATCAGTACAGCATCACTGGGGCAGGAACTAACAGTCCCTGGAACCTACAGTGGGGTCCTGGGCAGTGGGCAGGGTGGGGGGAGTCCGGTCAGTGCCCTCAGGACCCTAACAAAAACAACCCACAATCCTTAGACCATATGCTCTTCAGGAGGTGAATCGTTTCCTTCTCCTTTCTATATCCAGAAGACCTACCTGGTACTACAGTGATGACCATCGATAATATTTTCATATAGTTAAGCTCTGCATGACATGTGGCATTCCACACTCAAACATAATTGAAAGGGAGCTGAAAACATTCAGTATATCTTACACG